AAGGAGTCATTTTGCTTATAGACCTGTACTTGCTTTAGGATAAGCACACCTTGTGTGTTATCTATTGGTGAGATGTCTACGACGGCGGCGACGACGTTGAGCACGAGGGCTCCTTTGAGGACTGACCTGGAACAAGGTGTGGTCTCCGTAACAGCTTAAAATGCACTCTAATAGATTTAGAGTTGGGGTGTTTTCCTATTATTTCAGACGCGTTGTTTGGATGAAGGTGAATGATCTGATAGGGTCCTTTAAATACTGGTTTCGTCTTATCGTTCCGTGCTGTTTTAGCTACCTGCTTATAGACGGTTTCACTTATTTTGAAGGCTATCTCCTTGGCATCTTGGTTACGTTTTGCTATGACCTGTTCTTTATTTTTGAATGTGAGCGCTGCGACGCACTCTTGAACAGCTTCCGCTTTACTGCGGTGTTTCCTAGCATAGTCTTAGTAGAATTCGTGAGGGTGATAGATTTCTAAAGGGTTTCTGGATGCTGTCTGACCAAATAAGAGTTCATGTGGCGTATAGCCTGTTGCAGAATGAATTGCGTTGTTATAAGCAATTAGTGCATAGGTCAATATAGTTTGAATGGGGTCATCTTTATTCGTCATTCTCTGAATTCTAATGATTTCTGCGATTGTGGAATGGAATCTCTCAATAGGTGAATTAGAGTTTGGGTTATACGGTGTCGTGAAATGAATGTTTATATTATGGGATGCGCAAATTTCTTTAATCATATCGTTATCAAACTTACTGTCCGAATCGGTAGTTAATTGAAGAGGAAGTCCTAGGATGGAAAATATTTTTAGTAAAGCTTCAGCAACGTGAACGCTGCTGGTCGCTGAAAGGGGAATGGCTTGTGCATATTTAGAGAAGTAATCTATAACAGTTAGAAAAGTGGCACCTCCAGAAGAGTAAAGGTCCATGAAAAGGTGTTGCATTGGTTTTGTCTAGGTTTCAGTCAAGGCTAGTGGTGGTCTCAACGGGTTGCGTTCATACTTGGTTTTAAGACAGATGTCACATTTATAAATAAACGATTGTATTGTAAGTAGCATGTTAGTCCAACAATAGTTCCTATGTAAATGTTTGTAAGTTTCTTGAATACCACGGTGCATAGTTTTGCCTTCGTGGTATTTTTTAATTAATTCTGTTTGTTCGGATTTATTTTCCACGAGAGTTACACGAGATGTGCACTTGATAAGCTTAGGGTTTAGCTTGATAAGTTAAATATAGTGGTGTAGATTTTAGAGAAATCATAATATAGTTTATCGTCGTAGAAATAACAATGAAAGACTCTATTCGGAATAGTATGCTCTTTAAGAAATTTGACGCTTTCAGATTGTGTGTTATTCTGTTATCTACGCGATACGTTGAGCCTGGAGTGGTCCTAATATGGAATTGTTTCAGTTGTCTATCTATTGCATCAAATATGATAGGTATGCCTCTGTTTTCATTATCGTCTTGTGTATGAGCTGTGGCTACTAGATCATTTGACTGTGACGTCACTATGCTTATACTATCAGATTCGTTTTCTAAGATTTCTTGAACATTATCTGCCGTCAAGGTTCTATTTATGTTGTCAGTTTCAGCGCGTACATCGTCAAAGATCCTATTAATAAGGTTATCGTCGTCGTTATCATCTAAGTTGACCGCTAGTGAATTGATGCTGTTATGAAAAGTTTTAACTCGGGAGAGGGCATCGGCGTTAGTGTTTTGTTTGCCCTTCTTATAGACAACTTGGTAATCGTATTCGGCTAACTTTAAGCGCCATCGTGTTAATTTGGAATTAGGATCTTTCAGAGACATAAGTCATGTCAGGGGTTTATGATCTGTATAGATCGTGAATTTGCGACCATATAAGTAAGGTCGGAAGTACTTAACGGCCCAGATAATCGCCAATAGTTCCTTCTCTGTTGTTGAATATCGTGTTTCAGTATCTGAAAGTGTTCTGAATGCGTAAGCTGCCGGTTTATCTGATCCAATCCCAGCCAGGTTATTGGAAACGCGCCTAGATCCTTCTTGGATCGCGACTATCGATTAAAATCGATATCTCGGTCGAACACTGATTCGAAGGATTCAAACCGAGATCTCGCGATCCTACCGACTGCGCCAATTATGTCCGGGCAACCGAAAAAAGCCTCTTTTAAAATAAAATTTATTTAATTAAGAGAATACAAGTTTGTACCAAAGCCACGACAAGTCTGATCTTCGAATTATAAAATAAATATTGCGTTAATTTGCTAATTGCATCGGTTGCATTTTCGGCAGCGCTGAGTCAGGGGTTTTCCGGGAATACGATGACTTAACTACTGTCAAAAGAAAAAAATCGCTTAGAAACATCGCGTTTTGTAAACAATCACAAAAGCTTCATAGGAGTGAATATTCTTCTACAAGACCAACTATATAAAGAAATTAAAAAGAATCTTTTCGTATTCTAAAGTTTTCTATAGATAAAGCTATAGACAAAATGCTCCCAACAGTGTTTTGAAAAAAACTTTAAATTCTTATCGCCATTTTTATTTTTAAAGAATGACTATGAAGTAACCGAGAAACATTTCTTTTCTTTTTAAAAAGTAAATCTTGGTTGAAATTAGCTTGAAGAAGCCTAGAACTTCTTGGAAACGGTTTGTTTTGTGACTTATTTCGTATATTTAAAGTTTCTATAAATATTTAAAACCGAAAATCGATAACTGTAGTTTTAATAAGTGTATATTTTATATATCGAGTTCTTAGGTTTTCGCGATTGTTACACATAGGAAATGAAACTATTTTCCCGGATTTAAATCGCGTATATTTGTTTTTTCAAACAAACCGACGTTTCGGGCCCTTTACAGGTCCCATGGTCACGGTTGACTGAAAACGTCGGTTTGTTTGAAAAAACAAATATACGTGATTTAAATCCGGAAAAATAGTTTCATTTCCTATGTATATTTTACACATAAATATTTAAAATTTAGCGAGCGCATTACTTTTATAACAGGTTTTATATCACTTTTCACAATCTATTTAAAGTTGCACGTCAATTCGCGCTTTCTAACCGATTAAACATTGCGCGAAAAAGTTAGAAATATTATATCTAATTTCGCCATGTTGCAATTTTGATAGTTTGTATTTTGTAAGCTATTAAACTTGAAATGAATTAGTATTAAGATAATTGCGTTTTATGTTTGTAACGCTTTAGTATTTTGGTTTTAAAATAGTATTACTAAGAAAACTATCATAGACTATTAATTATCTAAAAAGTGTCTACAAGACTAAATAAAAACTGTTACATTCTACAGATGGTCTTGTAGCATTCTAGAAGGGTTTGAGAAAAAAGATAAGAATCACTCTTAACACTACCTACAGATAGTTTCTCAAAGCACTCTTGTGATCTACTAATAAAGTTGTGCCCACTTTTACTTTAAATTATCCAGAAACCTTCTTCGAGATATCTTGAGGGAATTTAAACTCTTAAAATATACAATGAAATTAAATTCTATTAGATATCTTATAGTATAAATTTAGATGTGAGTGTGCTGCTTGGCGTGTATGGCCTACATTTATTTCTCTCGTGAGTTTGGGTGTAATTTGTGATTGTTTATGTGTGTGTCCATGGCACCCGGAACACAGGGTTTTCCCTAGTGCGGGGCTGAGTGTGTTGCGTTATTATTGTATATTATTATTACTTTCTACCTTAGACGTACATTTCAATTTCAAACCGCTCGGCTAGAGTAGGATCTTCGATCTCCCATAGCTTCAAGCGTTTTATTTCTTCTCACTGAATTGATTTTTTTTGTAATTCTTTCACCCTTCGTCGTTGACCCCCTCACGGAAATCGTCTATGGAACACGCTTCCGCCCCTTGTAAGTCAAGCTCAGACTAAATTATCTGCCAAGCACATGTTGCGCAAGCATCTCATTAACTGAAATCTTCAAATTAAGACTGCTAAAACTTATATATACTATTATACTATAAGTAGACACTTGGTGTCTACCCTTAATGTATTTTTTTTATATAAATGAATTATCTTGTCGGGATGTCTGGACGATATCGCCCATAGCGACAATTCTGCCTTTGTCCACACTAGTCCTAAGTTGTTTATATACTGTTTTAGTTCTTGTGTGTGAGCAATAATAAAGTGTATCTTGTATAGTGTAGGAAAAATTAAATAAATAAATACATTATCATGAATACAAACCGGATTACAAATTACTAACACATTTATCATAGTAAAAATAAAAATGTGGAGTACTTGTGGAATACAATATTCGACAAATAACCTAAAGTCTTGGCAAACGTTCATCCTTTCAACGATATTTTCGACATTATGATATAATTCCGGGTGAATGTCATCACTATTCCATCTGCTTCTTGTTTTCGCATACTTTTCTTCAGCAAATACCGAAGATAAAGTGCAATGGTTCTGCTATGATCTGAACCATTGCCAACCAGTCTCATGTCCAGTTAACTTCTCCCCTTTAGCAGGAGTCTCAAAGCTTATTGATAACAACAAACAAACAAAATTACATAAAATTGTATTTTTAGAGCAAAATTTATGAGAACGTTAGGGTGCCTACAGATCTAGCGAATGCGCCGCAAATGCGCATGTTTGCGAAAGGCTCGTGCATTACTTAAAATAGAGTGCGATCTGTTCGCGTGCTGCTTACGCGACATATATCCTAACGTGTATTTAACTGCACACATGCAGCACGCGTGTAGCGCGCGTGCAACCCACATTGAAGCGCATTCGCCAGATATGTACGCATCATGTACTAAATCAACTGAATGCTATAAAATGAAATCACCAATAAAACACATATGTGAACTTTTAGTATTCACTAACACCGCTATGGAAATATTTTGTGTGTTTTTATTTAAATGAATAGGGAATATAATTATGATGCTTTAGTTAAGTCCTTAGTGACGGAATAAATTTTGTGTATAAATGTATACTTCCGCTCGATTAGAAGCCGCTTGGGAAGTAATAGGCGAGGCAATGTCTGAAAGTGTTCGTATTTCCAGGAAGTGCCATGGGACATTATCGATCGGTGCGCACTGCCCATCGTGCTATGTCACGCGCTCGCTGTTGTACTATCCACTGTACTAAACGCTCTGCACCTCAGCCAAATCTCCGTGTTCACGCTATTTATCTGGTTCTCCATCTCCGTCACTGGATCGCTTTGGTTCTACCACAACTTACAAGTAAGTTTTACTTAATAATAAAAATTTAGGAAATGAAACTATTTTTCCCGATTTAAATCGCGTTATTTGTTTTTTCAAACAAACCGACGTTTCGGGCCCTTTGCAGGTCCCATGATCACGGTTGATGATGATGGATCACATCAACCAATATACGCGATTTAAATCCGAAAAAATTGTTTGATTTCCTATGTGTAACAATCGCGAAAACCTAAGAACTGGATAATAATAATTTATTTATTGAACAACAAGGGCTAATTTGTTTTAGGACTTACAAAAAACTTTTCTTAAACTTTCTTATTAGCTAATGTTAAGTTTAAAAAAAGTTAAGGAACTTAAGTCGAACTTAAGAGTACACAGTCTATTTGCATCCCGCCTGAAATGGTGCTACAATGGGTAATATAATCGCAACAGTACGTTCTGTGGGCGATCATGTACAGTAATTCTGTTGGAGCTGCCACGCACTGTATGTGCACTAGGGATGCGCATCTTTTACGCATTATGGCGTAAAAATAATCCACATGTGCAAACATTCCTGATGCACTGCAGAAGCGCGGCAGCTCCAACAGCACCCTACGCGTTATTAAATTGAAGAGCACTGTAAGCCTTTCACGTATAATTGACCCACAAGCTGCACGTATAAAAAGCTGTGCAATATGCCCGGAAAAGAGTATTTCTTAACTTATCTTGAGCACCGTGCGAACCCGTGTGCCGACATATTAGCTCTAACTGACAGTGCCCTTCATTCCCTTTGTAAGCTTCATTCGTAAATGATAAAGGAATCTCCCCACAGTAAAAAAAACATCCTTGTATTCGATACACAACTTTTTATCGCCTTTCTTTCTTACTTATTCATATGTTGAAATCTCAATTTTAAGAAATTTTTTTAAGTAACTTATCTATTTCACCAGTTTCTTCTGTACAATTAACACTAACTAATTCTTATTCTAATGGCTCTACTTGAAATGGGGCAGTTACTACTAAAGTTTGGGGTATTACGGTATTATTTTGAGTCACCGTAGTAGCATAACTCTGTGTACACTGTACTAACACGGTTGGCATTCGGATCCTAGTCATAAACTCTTTATAATCTAACATTGCATCCCCGGTTAGAAAGTTGACCGGAAGTTTTACTCTTAATTCGCTCCGGGGGGCAAGTTGTATGTTTCCCTCATTAGTGGAGTGTAAATAATTGGAATGCAATTTTAAATATTTGCGGCAAAGGTATATTTATTACCTCACTATATTTACTAGACGCTTGAGTGCTTACGACTTCAAAAGGCTCGTTTTCTGTATGTAAAAATTTTCAACTGTAGTACTTATGGAAGGTTCGGGTTCGGGTTGCCGTGCATTGCGTAAGGTAAATGACCCTTGCGACTTTCGATTATTAGAATTTCTTTCTTGAAAATAGTTATTACTTGAATGATTATATTAATCTTGAGAGTTTTGGTAATTTTGGGACATGTTATGCGGTATAAATGTAGATGGTTGCCTTTGTGGAGTGTCTATCTTTGGAAGTTGTTTGCCGGTATCATAGACAACCTCCTAATAGATGCCGCCTGTTGAAAATTTTGTACTGAACCGAGCTCACCAAATTCGGAGGTAGGCAAGAAACGCGAGGAATGCATTCAAGACCTTGAATGAATGAATGAATGAATATACTTTATTGCACAGATAAACACACGAACATAAACACATGTACAGATAAACATACGCACAACAGGCGGCCTTATTGCTAAGTAGCAATTTCTTCCAGGCAACCTTAGGATAGGAAAAGTACCTAGAAGGGGGTGCAACCAAGATACTACCACAGCGATAGATTGAGAAACAATATTAATAAATACTAATAATAAATATAGTATATAATATAAATAAATACTAATAATAAACACAATAATATATCATTTTAAAGTAAATAAATAAAAATAATAAATACACAATGATATCAATGTAAATACATAAATAAATAATTATATAAATATTTACTTATTATATTATGATGAAGGATTATAATAACAACAGAACAAGGACATTAAAGGCAGAAAGGGAAAGAAGTCACTGTTCAAGAAAGTGCTCCTTGACACGTCGTTTGAAAATATGTAAAGAGGGGGATCGTCGAATATTTTCAGGGAGAGAATTCCACAATCGGATAGCAGAAACAGTGAAAGAGTTAGAGAAAAAATCAGAAGAATGGGAGGGCATTTCTAAAGAAAGGGTTTGGGAGGAGCGAAGTGGACGGTCAAGTCCTTCTGATTCGCTAGTTCAAGGTTGAACTAGAAATGCACTCAAATTGCACTTACAGTTAGTGATGGGCAACCTTTACCAGTCTGCATCCAATTAGTCAATAAAAACGATAATATTGTAACACAAATTATTAAATTCTTCCATGCCGATCTGGAAGCAAAAGAAGAACAGAAAGAAAGAAAGAAAGAAAGAAAAGCTCTGCTCTGCCTACCCATAGGGGTACCTATGGGAGACAGGCGTGACGGTAGTGTGAATGTAAATTATTGAATGACTTACGACTGTAGGATGATATTTAAGAAAACAAGGTACTTAAGTATTATAAGTTGTCGTATTTACAAAAGCATAACTAATGAAATTAATTATGGAGTTAAGTATGTATAACGTCATAATTGAAGGTTTAGGTCATACAATGTAAGGTGATAAGATAAAACATGACTTTGTTATTCATTGTATTACGTTACAAGAATAACTATTATAATATAATCAAAGAAGACATAAAATAATATATATATATATATAAAACAAATTTATGTAACCAATTTCACACGAAACGTTATCGAAGAATAATAAACAATAAGTGCTATCTATAAACGTAGTTAAAAAAGTAATATACTAATAATATTTCTTATAGTGATTAAGATGACGATCTCAAATCTTCCCAACCCTAGTGTTACACGTGTCTTCGATAAAAAGATACGCTTAATTGTAAGATCACAATAAAAGAAAGAGACCTGTCCGAAAGACATCAACAAGAGATCAGTTTCCTTCGTAGTTTTTTTTGTGTTAGCCATTTTAATTTGACCTATGCGAAACTTGTAAATAACGTAGTTACAACTTACCTTACACATATATATACTTACACAGATAGTCATTTTTATAGTTCATTTCACTAAAACCAGCGTAACAATTGAGGATTATCAGGAGATGCGCACGGGTCTGATACTTGGTCGAAAGTAAGTGATGAATTTTTGCAAAATTTTGTATATGATCAATTGCACGGATGTGTGGTGCGCGTCAGTTGCCCTGTATCCGGCATCTATTAGGTGGTTATCTATGGCCGGTATATTTTATTGTCTAGGACTTCTGAAATTTCGCGTGTGTGGATTTTAAAAATCGTACACTGTTTGAAAGTTCTGTTCTTCTAGGATAGCTATCATCGCGTCTTCCAAAGTTGTCACACTCTTCAAACGCACCAATCTTACTAAATATATGTGCAGGCAAATTAAACAAGAAAACGTACGATACTCGATGTACAGAAGGATCTACGGGAATCCTACCGACTGCGCCAATTAAGTGACTGAGACGAGCTTTGTTATAAAAAAATACTTTACTCAAATTCAAATTCAAATTATTTAATGCATTCACATTGTTACATAGGTGTTAAGTTAGATAATAGTACAGATCTAACATGAACCCTGTAATATGTAATAGCAATGTCAAGCCTAAATTCTAAATAAATCTAAATTTGTATTACAATTTTTACATTATCTCTTGATTTGATATTCGATAAAATGAACAATTAAACAAAATACTATTTATTACTAATCGTCAACAGTAGCACATTTTTGTTCTATTTTTAAAGTAGTTTATCATCAAGTTATTTGAATTTTATAATTTCGTTTAATATGTCATCAATTTCAAAATTTATTATTATATTTATTGTTATATATATGTATAACAATAAATATAATAATATGTGTATACACATTAATAATTGTTCATTTATGAGTTACAACAATTTTACAATTATTTAGATAATAACAAATAACAGTAACAATAATAACCATAACAATAATAACAATTTCTTATCCATTAATTATATAGGGTGGCCGCAGTGGAGATGAAGTAGAGACGAGAAAATATGATGAATAACTATATTAAATTTCCACAAAGGTATTTCTTAAACTAAATCATTTTGAGAACGTCCGCAGTTAGGTACGTTATGTCTAAAAGTACTTATACGAAAAAGATCTTAACTAAAGGAATTTAGTCTACGTCTGATGTTAGGTACGTTGGGCCGAAAACTGTCTCGTAATTATAATTAAACTGACGAGTTTTGCATCGGTCACGTTGCAACGCACGGGGCGCGCGTTCCGGGGTGCGCTTATGCAAGTGCATTGACCTGACGTTTTAGGTATGTGCAAATCTGGATACATAACACATTTCATTTTATTTATTTACTCATTTATTAACTGCACAGGTGCAGATGCTACATACAAGCATAGGTACATAGAAAAACATATAAACCCTGCAGGGCACAGCAATATAAGAATGAGGCAGATCGACGCTACAGAGATTTGTCATCTAAATATTGTTTATTGTATTATTTCTTATGCCAACCTTTTTTTTTGTGTTGCCACGCCGCTTGTCTTACTTAGATGGGTGCTGTCGCGGCGGCTTGACAGGGCTGACGAAGCAGGTAAATGAGCGCTTCTTACACTCTTAACACGCGCGCCTTATTCCAATTATTAAGTTTTTCAGTGATTTATAATAGCTTGCTAAACTAGTGCAATTACGTACACTTTTTACTGTTACATCTGTGGGGTGGAGCCTTTATTATTTTATTTTTTTATAATATCAAGTGACGGGACAGACAAGTCGTGCGCCTGATGGCAGGCTACACGCCTGTCCATAACAGTTGCAGTGCCACGCAGAACTTTAAATCGCGAATATCTGAGGTGCGCTACCACTGCGCCCGTCACCTTGAGATATAAGTTGACAAGTCCCATGCGCCTGTAATTTCACCAGCACCCTTATCC